CTTTCCCTATTCCCAAGTATTCCCAGGCTTGGTTTGGTTGTGTTTTTCTCTTTTTTTTTGTGTGTGTAGAAAATTTAAAATCTATTCAATTAGGGAAAAGTTACTTCCCTCATGTGATCACTTTAACAAAACCAGGCTCTCATTCCTTGCCAAAATTCAGAAAAACACATTTAAAGTTTCTGCAGTGTTACTAAGATTCAGATAATTTTCATCACTGAGACAGCATCCATTAGCTAAATGCTACCAAATGAACTGAACTTGAACCAAAAAAATTAAATTATAATTGCAAAAGCATACAGTAAAATTTCAACTAAGTACGCTCTTACAAACTGTACAGTCCTTTTCTAATCATAGTTCCTCTGAACCAACTGCACTTTACTATCTGGCTTCACTTCTATGCAAGACCTCAATGAGAAGAGTAAACTCAACAAAAAAAAAATCAAAAGTCTTAAGTCTTTTATATAGATATGTAAATGCTTTGTCATTTTAGACCATCTGGAAAGTTGTGACAATCTGTGGACTATCCAAGAAATTGGTTGCTGAGGTTTAAACCAAAGCCTTCACAGTGAAGACAACTACAAAGACAGTATTCTTTAAAAGTGATTAGAACTTGCAATAAGTAGTGTTGCAAGGGGATTAATGAACTTTGCAATGTGGCCTGTAGAAAAAAGGCTGGTACATTCAGAAGAAAAACATGTGCCCAAGGCACACTAAGTGAAGCTAGCAAAGTGGCAACCATTCTCCTCACGCTATCTTAAAATACAGTTCTAATTTCTTCTGAGAATCCCAGCCCTGGCAGAAAAATGTACACACATGACAACGTTTTCTTCCCTACTCATTCCTCAGCTTGATATTGCTTGTTTGAATAGCCACATGGGAGCTCATCTTTTTGATTTGCCTCTAGAGTACAGTTAATCACAACTTCCATGAAACAGGCTCTTGTATTGACGCAATGACTCAAGATACGAGGGTGGTCTGAATCCCCAGTGTATATCTTTTGATCATAGTTTAACCAAAGCTGGATTTCCTTCGCTCCAGCACTTGGCCTCTCTGCTTCACACTCAAAAAACCCGCTGAATCCAAATACAAACAGTCTGCTGAAAGCTTCCCTTGGACAACAACAGGATTTTGTTCCAGCCACTAAAGAACATCTGAAAAGCTACACAGCATTCAGCCTCTCAAAGCTACTATCCTCCTAGTAGCTCAAGGGACCCTAGACTAACTTCATCCCTTCCATCTCAAAGATTAAATGTGCTAACAGAAATTCAGTATTACTCATTATAAATTTTTGCCTAAGTGGCAATTCAAGTATGACAAGCAGACTTTCAAAACCTTAGCTGGATTTGCCCTCCACACCCCCACTGAAACAGAATAAAGGCATTTTCTTCATGTTATTTTTATTGCAAAACCCAATTTTCGGTTTATGCAAGTCCAAAAAGATGCATCTGAAATGTCAGATAGAATTTTGGTCCTTTTGACTTTGATCCAATTCTGTTTGATTTCAGTACTGTCCTCCCACCTGATTTTAAAATCCCACGCCTCCACAACTTTTCCCCTTTCTTGTTACTGAGCTCACCACTTACCATGAAACTGTGAAACTATTGGAGGAGTATCTTCATCTAAGTCATCAACTCCCCCTGCAATTGGGTAAGGAGGAATGGAAACTCGAGGCATAACTACCCAGCTGTGATCAGAGTAGAGAGATGAGGTCAAGCTTGGGAGCCCAGAATTGTGTGCTATTTGAAAACCACAAATCTTCTCAATCTGCTGCCATCGATAAAGACGCTCTCTCAAACATGTCGTCAACTCAGAGAGTGCTTTCCTGAAGAAAAGCACACATTGAAATTACATACACTGTTCTTAATGATAAAGCAAAGCAACACCAGTGCACTCATTCCAGCATACCAGAAGATCCATTAGGATTGCCCAAATATTTGCATTTTAGTATCTTTTAAACTGTTTTACTTAAAAGTGCAAAACCACTAAGACACTAAATTCCACAACTCTCAAAAAATTCCATTGTTCCAGGAGCAAATAATCACAAAAGAAAACGCATTCTGGTAATACTCTTACTTTGCTTCAAGGATTTTATGGTCCACTTCATCCAGGGAGGAGCTGTGTGCAACATGTAATGTTCCAAATACAGTGCTCCGCTTCTTTTTTATCTTTTCTGCCTATAAACCAAGATAACATGAAAAGCATAAAACTAGGAGTTATATACTTAAAACAGATGACAAAACATGAGCAATACTTGACAGGTAGCAAACAACTCAGTGGAGAAAAAAATATCCAAATGCTTATCTGAATAATTTGTATTTACTATTTCATACATCTAGCAACAGATCAGAAAAGTCTAAGCAGCTGAAGAGCAAGAGTTAGTACCTCATCTTTGGCAATTGCTAATTGCATTTCTGCATGCTGTCTTTTGATATTGTAATATTGGACTTCAACTTCATGTGTTAACTGAAGCCACTTCTGCAAAGCTTCAGGAACAGACCAATTACTTCTCAGTTCAAACTCCTTCTCAGCCTTTTTTAAAGCCATGCGAACCTAACAATCAAGAAGAAATAAAAATGTCACCAAGAGTATCATTAGAAGTAACAGTGGAAGAAAGGGAAATACAAGCACATTTACCCCCCACAGCAACATACTAAGGCTTTACAGAGCTTTGGTGCATGCCAATTGCTGTCAGGAAGGCAGATCTGGCATTTCCTGAAATATACCACATGAATTTCCATATACTATATTATACTCAGATTTTTTTTCCTATGATATATTGTCCCTAACTTGAGGCTTAAATATTTTGGTAAGACAGCATTTTTATTTAGTACAATAAATCCTATCTATTGCTCCTCAGAAGAGTGAGACAAAGCTACTATCTCTCATCTGATAACAACACAGATAAAAAAAAGCTTTTGTATATATTTTGTTCCATGAATCCAACAACATTATGATAACCTAATACACAAAGTGTATGCTTTTATAGTTTCAGGATTATTTTACTAGATAATGGCATGATTGACAGACAATCATTAAGTGCTCTTAGAATTTTTCCATTCAAATCTAGCATTAGAGAAATGCTGCTTTCAACACTCCTAAGGATCTAATAAAACCAGGATCAATTTAAAGTCAACACTAAGATTATAAACAGTTTGCAGATACCTGTACTAGCTCTTCCTCTGCATATTTGAGCCTGCTGAGCTCACATTCAGCTCCCTCTCTCAGCTCCCTTAGGCGATGAGCTTCCCGTTTTGCATCATTGATCTCGTCCATCATTTTGCGCTCCAGATTTTGTTTTTCCACAGCAACATTTCTATTCTCTTCTTGTGCCTTTTCAAGCCTTCACAATTGAACAAAAAATATGAAGAAATACACAGCATATTTGTTAAAAGTTGCAGTGCTCAGGAGAAGAAAACAGGTCCAGCAACAGGGTAAGAGGCAATGGGCACAAACCAAAACACAAGAGGTTCCGTCTGAACATCAGGAAACACTTTTTCACCATGAGGGTGCCTGAGCACTGGCACAGGCTGTCCAAGGAGGTGATAAGAGTCTCCATCCTAGGACTTATTCAGAAGCTGCCTGGACATGGTCCTGGGCAACCTGTTCTAGGTGATCCTGCTTGAGCAGGTGGGGCAGGACAAGATGACCTCCAGAAGTCCCTTCCAACCTCAACCGTTCTGTCATAATAAAGACTGTGCAAGCTTCATGAATCAGCAGCAATTACATCACACAATGTGATGTCCACGTCAGACAATATGCAAACTTTTAGGTGAACTTTCATTAAAGGTCTAATAAGATCAAAATACAAGTCTTTATAGACAATTGAGTTACAAGTGCACCAGAGAAGACTATCAACTCTCACATTGCTAAATAAGCAATAGAAAGTAATCAGTCCATGTCTGTTTCAATTTTAAGAGCTAAAAAACAGGAGAAGAGTTCTCATTTCCATTTCCATTCATATTTCCAAAGTAAACTGTAACTATATGAAAATAACAGTACATACTTTTAAACCTGTAGGTAAAAAAAGATTGAACCTCTATTCTCTATCTTCATCCCCAAGTTCATATTGCCTGCTAAAATACCCAGGAGGAATTTCTACCTCAAAATCCACCATCACTGAAATCTCAATTTCCATGCAAAATGAAGATGAATAAAGTCAGCTTAACACAAATATTTTATGACTGTAAAGGATCTGTATTTGTATTTAACCTCAAAATAAAAGGACAACTAATCATAAAACTTTTTTAGTTTTTGTACCTTTCCTGCAAGTCAAGAAGACTTTGCTCTGCTGTTTGGAGACTTTCTAAGTCCTTCATCATTTTTGTGATATGTTCTCTTGAGGTTCTGTTCTGTGTATATGCAAACCAGCAGCCTCCAAAACCAATAACTATAGAAACTGTTAATATAAAGTCCTTCATCCAGTTGTGCGGGGGACCTGTGCAGAGAATAACACAATCATTAACTAGTTCATTGATACAGACAACAGACTAGGGCAACGGAACCTGATGCTAAACAGAATTTCAGCTCATTTATCTGAAATCATCTCCAACAACTACCTTTCAACCTTTCAAATTGATTCCAGAGCATTTTCCATACAACATAAGCAACTCTGCTCTAATACAATCTACTTAATCTATACTAAAACTTAGACTGAGGAAAGCTAACTAAATTTTTACACTACATAGTCTGTATCTTTATTTAAATGGGTTAAAAAATAGTTTCCCCAATTTCACTTTATCAGGTCAGTAGGAACTTTAGTTATGTTTGAGTAAGTTCTCCCCAGCCTGCGCCCTCTGGAATACCCTATGCTGAGTTGAAAATGCACTTGTAAAAAACAAAGTAGATTTTAAAAGTGTAAGTAGCTTATAGCAGTAGTTTTTAAAAGCAAAACCTGGATCGTCAAAGTATCATATCCAAGATTCACATACACTTCTTTGTTAGTACAACTTTTATAGTCTCTTGCACCTTTGTAAATAAATTTTTTAAAAGACAGTTTCTGCTAGCATTAAAGGTATAACGCAAACACAAAGTGCTTTTTCTCCCTAAAAATCTCCAGTTCCGATCTGTCAGGCAAACCCAGATCTGGACTGACTTTTGCAAAGTCATTCACTACTCTCCACACTGACCACCAAGCTCTGGGAAGGCCTCCTGGTTCAGGAATACCCGACATGTGCAGTACCACAACAGATCTGTAACTGTGTACAAGCAAGCATCGAGACCACTGGTGATGTGGTAAGGAAATGTCTGCATACGCTAAAACGAGTCAAAAGCAGAACTGCTGCATTAAATTTAACTGCAGTCTGCATAAGAGACATTGGTATAGGATTTGCACTACTACTTCCTTTTTTCTTCCCATAGGGAAGGTCATCCCTTCTCATTTCAGCATCCCAGCTTACATTGTCCAAGCTAATTGGGAAGTGAATGTAACATTAGCTATAAGTGTAATTTAAACAGTCAGAAACATTTAAAGGACACTTCTTGTGACATAAAAGCCAACATCTGTCAAGTGGGGTTATACTAGAATTTCTACATAATAGTACACACAGAAGTGAACCTTTGTCCTGATCCCAGCATCTTGATAACCTCTTTTAATTCATTGCCCAGTTCCACAACGCATGCCAAGCAATCCATCAGTATACCCACAAAACAGATAAGCTGTCCTACCTACAGTATCAAGTGTCACTGAAAATATTCTCTGTTGAATTCTTACAAATGAGAGATAAGAGAAAACTCCAAAAAGCTACTAACGGGTGAGAGGTCCAAATAAAACAACATCCAAGGCTTTAAGTTGAAGCTTCTGTCTATGGCTCCGGTCAATTATTTTCAAGTGAGAGATCATGAAAGCATGTTCATTTACTGCTATCCTGTTAATGATAAGACAAAACATAACCTATTCCACAAGTTATATTCAAAACCAGTCTATGGAAAGAAATACATCAACAGCATTTCCCACAGTTCTATAGATTATAGTTATGCAATTAGAGTGAGAGATATAACACAATGACAGTAGTGTTATAAAAATAAAGCCTATTGGCATGTGGCAAAAGATGAACATCAAACCATTTCCTTACTCCTTCCTGGAATAATCATGAAAGCATAGTTAAAGGTAATGGTGTATTTTGCAGACTTGTGACACCCTCTCCGAAATACATGCAATACTCAAATTTAGTAGTTATGCTCAAGAAAAGGGGTCCTGCAGATAGTTTTTGATGTTTACCTATACAATAGATTGGAAATTGTTCAAAAGAAAGTTCACTGTCATATAGAATTATGTGATCATCGATAGAAATTTCAACAGGAAGAAACAAAACTACGACGAAAGGAGTGGCAAAAAGCATTTATATTGTGAAATATTTTGGCAGAAGAAAAAACGTAGCCAGCTATTCAAAACTGCAAGGATGCTTCTCTTTTCTTGCATTTGATGGTATCTTTTTAGACTTTAGGTTCACATAGTTGTTCCCACATGCAGACTAAAGCAGCAACCTACAGGGACTTATTTGAAACTAATCCAGAAGAAACGTTCACCTGGGAAGTGTTGTTCCATTGACATTGCTGTCTCTAAAATTCTTTTCATATTGGGGCAGTTCAACAAATTCTGACAGCCACTGAAGAGTGTCCTCTTGAGTCCAGTTATGAACTGGAAGAAAAAGTCGGTTTAATTACCTTCAACTTTTGTAAAGATCAATAGCAACACATAAAAAGACAAGCAGTAGAAAAGCAAGTTACAGTGAGCAAGAGGGTTTAGCCAAATATAATTGCAGAAAAAATAGCATTAACATTCACTAAGGTGTTTCTGGCATTTTGCCTTTTTCATTATATGCTTCTCAGAGGAAGCTTAGGCAAATGATAAACAAACAAGCGTGGAACCAACAGAAACATTTCTTTATTAAAAATTCCACAGAATAATTTAGTGTTTTGCTTTAGTTTAAATCAGGACAGCATCTTGTGACTTTTATCTACTTAAACCGATCTCAGCCTCAATCCTTTTGTCCTTGTTACCCTTGCAGAATTAAACACATGTCAGCAGGTGCTGCAGCCATTTAAGGCAATGTACCAAGATTTTTCCCAGGATGATGGCTTAAGAACTTTTTTTCACAAGAATCTTCATAGAGGCTCATACCTACTAACCACAAAATGGGAGCAGAGAAGAAAGGAAGAGAGGAGATTGAAAGAAAATACTGAAAGACAAAAGAAATTTAACACAAAACCAGTTAATCTCTCTCAAACATATCCAAAATAGCTGTATTACAAGCAATAATACTGCCACTAAAAAAAATTATTTAAATAATGTAGAGAATAATTCACAATTTTCCTGTGTAACAGCAATAGTCTACATAACCTTTCATAGCTAAGGATACTCTAAGAAAATAAGGAAGTACTACCCATAGATTCGGGAGGCGGCGGGGGGGAAATCACATTCTGGTCCTTACAGGCCAGCTGCTACAGTTTACAGCTTTACACTGACTAAGTCGAAGGGAAATTGTTCTCTCCATTTATTAAGTCTGCAAAAGTTTCTCTGCATATGAAAGAAATAGTGACAGCCTCCTTCTCCTTCTGGACAGACATCTTTGCACGAAGATTTTTTTTTTTTTTTAAACATTTCTCTATCTAAAACTACTTGCATGCGACAATGCTGGGCAGACATTTCTTTAGAAAGCTTGTCACAGGGACACATTCTCAGTGGTGAATTTTGACAATGATCCTTTAGAAAGAGCAGATGAAAGCTTGACAGGTAAGCTGCAAACAACAGAAATTTTTTTGAGTTTAAATTTATATTTCAGTTTCCACTGAAATTGAAATAAGGTCCTCTAAGTTTCTTGTCTACACTAGCATAGCTGAAAAAAATAAGCTTAAACATTCCAGATTTTCATTATTCCAGATAACCAGAGACAGAACACATTTCACAGACCTACTTACAGCTTTAAAAAAATAAACTTGCAGTATAAATCACTTGTATTCCATCCATATGAATGGCTACACCTCCTTCCCAGCATGCTGGCCCATTTCTTTCTCTGCTTTTGAGCCACAAAATGTTTTCCAGGTATTGGTCTTGCAAGAGACTCAGTTTTATCATATTACTCTAAGCTTCTATGCAAAATGTCTGGGCTCTATTTGTAAACAGATTATTTTCACATTGCAAAGATTTTTTTAACTGTTTTGTGAATAAGTGATCAAGATTTACAAGTCACTCTAAGCATCTCAAAAGGGTCATAAGATCATCCAGAAAAATACCATCTTAACCGTGTTCTGGAAATATGTTCATAATGATCCAAAGCAAAAGCGTTGTTTTGGTGTGACACTGGGGGGGGAAATTACCTAAAATAGCTACTACACACTAGAGACTATCACTGACAGTAGAGAACATGCAATTTCAGAAGCCACATGATTCACTGAGTTTAAGGGGGGGGGGGAAGAGAAAAAGAAAAAATAATATCAAGAAGTTTCACATCTGCCGCTGAAAGTATTTTGTAGTCACTATTAAAATTTACATCAATTTGTACTGTTTTATAATTCAGTAGTAATTTTAAACATTATCATGTAAGAAATGAGGTACCTATTGAAGTTGTTTACAGTACAGTCAATCACATCTGTTCTACTGCTTAGACTGGTGTGATATTTCCTTCATAGAACATTAAGGAAATTTCCCCAAACAAACCAGTTATATTTAGGAAAAAACACTTTGCTATTCGTTAGCTATCACTGTACCAGATACCTCCATTAGTACAGAAACTGCGAAAAGATATAACCAAAGTCTATCCTGAACTAGAATCAGAACTTGTACTTTCTGTTTTCTTCTTACACTGTTACCTGTTTACACAAAAGTTAATGTCAAACACTCTTTGATGTATGTTGCATCCTTTTAAATGGCCACTCGCCATTTAAGCTAAGCATAATCAATACGTAAAGTCAACTCTTATTCTGGGATTTCACAGTGTGAATTTCTTCCCATGCACGTATTTCACAAGAAATGTAATTTGTTATGTAAACTAATTCTGCATTAGCAGAATTCCAGTGTCAGTGCCTATAAATCTCCAATTTTTCCACGTGGAACTGGACTCTACACTGTCCACCCTTTCCTACAGCACCACAGTGGAGCCCTGTGAGATTGATCTGTATCAGTGAGAACATTCAGACTGGGGTTTTTTATTGATATCTTCTATATATTGGTAAGAAGTATTGCTTGACTTGTCTCCAATAAGACCTTATGACCAACATATATATTTATTCTACAACAGCATACAGTACTGAAAAGCAAACTGGCCTTTCTTCACTAGAAGCAGTTGTAGCCTACTGAACCATGACACAAGACACGTGATCAACATTGCCAATTAGAATGTGTCAGCTCCTACTAATTAGCTGAGGTTGTAACTTTTCCTTATTTTAATCACCCAAAAAGAACATAGTGCTTCAGACAGTGGAGTAGCAAGTGATAATTACTGTAAGTTAAACGCATATAGCATTAAAGCATAATCATAACATCCTTCCCTCTCACACCTACCTTCAAAAATAGGTATCTTGAGAGAGAGGATGTCAGCAACATGCCTTGGGCAGGCAGGAGTAGAAGCCACGGTGTTTACACCCTAGTGCAGCACTCAGTTTCTAGACTTGCAACAGCTGTTCTATTTCAGATCACAAGTTTGGTTAGGTTTGGGGTTTTTTTTACTTTTTGATTATTTTTTTTAAGCTGCTATAACAACATGCTTGAAGGTGAAGACAACAAAAGTAGCTTCAAACTGGTCCTGTATGAAAGTTGCTCCTTGCTAACCCATGTTAATGGCTGATTAGATGATCAGCCTACATAGCATTTTTTCATGTTAAATTTATCATGTAGCACAGTGCTTCAGGGCAGGGAGGCATGAAGTGAAACAACATTACAGCATCAGCCTCAGTACTCCTGTGGGCCTCCTACTCCTTTCAGAAAATCAAATTACATTCAATAAGAGTATTTCATGGCAAGGAGCGAATGACAGCCATATATTAGGCTTAAAGTCGAGAACAGGCTGACCAGGCAATACAGAAAAACACAAGATCATTCTGTATCAAGCACATACAAGGATTCCAAAGTTAGTTTTGTTT